AACCATAGTCGATGCGGGAGTAGAATTCTGGTCGTGATTGTTTTCTTGGGGTAGGCGGTTTAAAACTTCTTTAGAATTAAAAGGACTAATTCCGCATTTTTTAAATCCTGAAATTAGGTTTTGTGAATAATTGTTAGGCGCAACGACCTCTGTTAATTTTTTTAACAAACGTGGAAAGTGATCTTTTTGAATCGTTTGAGAATTTTTCTTTTGCGATTGCTTCCAATTGTCTAAAATCTCTCTCCATCTTCTTTTTAACGGACCATAGAAACCTACATCTAGAGGCTGGGTGAGATGTGTTGCGTTTTTCGGCAAACAAGCAAACGTTATATTGTTCCTCTCAGCTGAACTAAGAACCTCCTGAGTAAAATGACTTGAAAGATTATCTCCCAATAATACTACTCTTCCGTTTATATATTTTTTTACATATGGCACAAAGAGATTTAAAAACCAGTCAGTAAAAATGGTGGCATCGAACCATCCACTTTTACTTCGATTGTAACGAGTGTTCGGCGGCCCTCCTTCCATCCAAGTTAACCATATTTTTTCAGCTTTGTATACAACGTATGGTGGTATTATTTTACCGGCCGCCGATCCACAAAACATGATGGAGACACTAGATTTGGTAGAGTCTCGAATCCTCTCTGGGTACTTAACGCCTTTTTTAAAAATATATTTCTTTGTACCAGGATCGTCAGAGAGGTTCGTTTCATCGTAGTTAAAGATACGATCAGGGCTAATAAAGTCATTATTCTCCGTTAAAGTTATTTGTAAAGCGTCAAAATATGCCTTTATGGTATCTGGTGAAACCTGTGCTTTGGATGTTTTCAGGTTTTGACACATTCTAGATGACAACATATTTTCATGGCGTCTTATGAATTTGGTGCACCATTTTAACGTTGGCAAATTACCCTCTTGGAATTGAGGAACCTTCACACCTTTTCTATTAAGAAACTCGCTGGCTAAATGTTGCAAATCAACTCGGGAAAAAGGATATCCCCATTCACTAACTTTTAAAATGTGTGCTACCATGGCATTTTCTTCTTCCTTTGAAAAAACAAACGGGCGCCCAATTTTACCACAGTGCTGACTTTTTAACCTATTTATTATTGTTCCTTTTGAAATATGAAACTCATTGGCGGCTCTTGTTCTTGAGATTCGTCCTGATTTTATCATGCTCAAAACTTTGTCCAGCAATACTTTATCTTCCCTGTCCTCATAACGCCGATATTTTCTTTTAGGCATGTCTATAAAACCAAAAATAAAACAAAAATCAGAGTGGGAACCAGATTTTCGATTGACGTTATCATAACTTTGACCGTGGAAGTAACTTTGACCGCTGGTCAAAGTTGAGAACAGAAAAAAAAAGGTTATGTTTAAGAAATAAAAATCACCATTATCATAAACAAAAGAATAACAAAATAAAAAAAAGGTGGATTAGACTACTAACATACTAGACTACTTACCGCAAGGAAAGATTTGACTTATGTCTTTTTAGTTTCTCACCCACAATGGAAAGTTTTCGGACTCAAAATTTTCACGTGTTTCTCGTCCAATATTTAACGGTAACTACGCGTATAATTTCAAGCCGATTTGTGTTGACGGGGCATAACGACATCTATGGGTCATTAAAATAACTATTTGTATACAGAAATGACCAACATTATAGAAGTATGTGATGCTGTGGTGCATTATACCGGTCAGTGATCTTTTGGTCAATGTTAGGTGTCCGGACAAAATTAGGGGAGTTTACGGAACCTTTGGCGTTACAATAGCAAAATAAAACACTAACATGGTTAGCGAAACGCGCCTTCAAAGTAAAAGTAAATTGTTTTGGTGTATTGTGGTGAATTAGTGTTTCATTTTGCTTCCATACTTGGATTGCTAAAGATCTTATTATTGCTAGATATGAATTCGGCCTGAATATAGCCTAAATTTTGCTATACTTTTTAACATGTAGAGGACGTTTTATCTCCCCAATATACTACTCACCGCACTCGCAAGTTACCTGGTAGATGCACTCTTTCTTCTGTTTTGATGGTTCCGGTTTTGTTTTTGTATTTTCCCAAGTATAAAATGGCGAAAGTTTGCTCTACGTTCTTCACCACCCGTCCAGTAATGACGTAAAATTATGCTTATTCAAAATTCGCTTTTAATGTTTTTTGACTATTTCTCCAAGTATTCTAGAACGTTTTTCATCTTCTACTTGTAACAGAATATTTAATTCATTTTTATTTATTATTTCGCCATATATCCATATATTGACCTTCTTTTTATATTTATAGTCTTTAGTAACTAGTTTGGCCTATTTGGAAAATATACAGAAAAATATCCTTTATCCCTGTAGATTATTTCCTTCATAATACCACTAAACTATAATTTTGTTTCTTTAGTTGTGTAGATTATACTTACAAATTATTTTTGGCACGTTTAAAGTCAATATGACATTGAAAAAATTATTTCTTCTAAAATTATTTTTGGCAACAATAACGTCAATTTGATATGAACAAATTTAATTTGAAGGTGGCATATTTGTCATTGCAATCAAAAGGAATTCGCAGAAGCTATTGAAAATGAACATTTTACTTAATTTTAAGGAGTTCGTTAAAAAATTCAAATATTTTTTCCGTAAAATAAAATGGAGAAAACTTCTTCATAATTTTTTAAATTTACATGGGATTTTATATTTCCAAGTTGGCGATACAACAAACTATATATGTTTTATATTATTGAGCTTAAAAAACAGTTTTTGGTTTTTGCTTTATAGCCTAGCAAGATACTTAAAAGTAGGGAAATAAATAAAAAAAAATGATAATTAAGGAAGTAAAGGCTAGTATAAAAGCTTCTTTTAATTAAAATATATTGGTATCTGTTTTCGCTAATTAACTGCGAAAAGTGCTTGAATAAGTAATAAGGTATTGAGCCAATAAAGTGGAAAGTATAAGAGATCTTTATTTTTCCCAGAATGAAAGCTACACAAGACTGATTTATAGTCATTAAAATTTGATATAATAATTGCCCCTTTTTTCTCTTTTATATTTGCACTTCGTTTTTCATAAATAATTATTTGCGGTTTGTGGCTTATTTTTTTTGCTAGTTATAAGAATCATAATAATGTTTAGACAAATTAATTTTCTTTTTCAGGTGAGTGCTTACCAATATCTAGTCCACGTAATAATTGCATGTTTATTTGTGGCCTGTAGTCCAGTGTTATTTAAGGTAAGAGTATTCTCTATTTCTAAAAATCGCGCTTGTGGAAATGATATATTGTATCACGGGCTAAAGTCCTTGTTAAAATATACGAGAGTTTTCCATTTTATCTTCAAAAAGCGTGTAATTTCTTTTCAGACAAATCCCATGTAAAAGAATAGTTTCCAATTTTAAGGACACTATCGTGAATAGTGTGGATCTTACGGGATTGCCCTACTTACAGTTTTATTTTATTATATCGTTTTTCAACAGATGTGTTAAAGTGAAAACACAAATCGTTTCTTTAAACTCCAATTTGTTCAATTACCTCTCATTTATCTACATCTCGGCCGAATTCAAAGTATTTGTAAATTTTCATTGTTCAAATATTATATAAAATAAGAATTTCGTTAAAATTCTTCTACCAAAGACTCTTAAAATTTAGTATAAAATTGAAAATATCTACAAAATGGTTAACCAGATCCTATGTTTTATATTGATTAGCGATATCATACATACTATTATTACTAACTTATTTGCTTTCTTCATTGTTAGAGACTATGCATAGTAAAACAACCCTTGTACAGGGTGGCGATTTTCGTGTGTTTTATAGGGTTTTTCGTTATGAGTAGAAATACAAGGTGCGGTTTTCACATCACTTTGCTACTTTTTATGAAACTAAAGTTACACACAGATTTGTCCTAGTTTCATGGGTTTCTGAAATACTGGGCGAATTTGAAAATGTTGCATTATTTTACTCTCTTCGTATCTTGGTTATATTACTTATTGAAAAGATGAAAACTGAGTCCCGTAGAGTCGTAGAGTATTTTACGTAGAAAGCAGTGGTGTACCTATTTTTTCGCTAGGAGCTATCATTTCCGAAATATGACTGAAACATTTTTTTTAAATGGGACCCTCTGTATATTTTTTTATTTTATTTTCCTTATCATAAGCTTTCAAAAAATATAATATATTCTATACTTATTCTTATGAACAAGGTAAAAAATTGCATATTTTTACTTTTTAGCATAAATAAACTAAGTTTAAAGGGTATTATCATTTTATTTAATTTAATTAAAGCATATAATTTTGCTTTCCATTATGTTATCTTAATAAACTGCATTGAAAATAAACTTGTACAGCTTTTAGATAACACGTAGTCAATCAAACTTACTACTGATATTTTTAATGTACGTTTGCAATGATTTCTACACATAGAAACTAGCCTGGAATTGCCAGAAACCAAAATTTCAGGTCGAATAAATTACCTATTCGATTGTTTTGATTACCTATTTTAAACGGGTCGCCCCTGTTTAAAAGTTAAATAATAGATCTTTTGCCTTGTTTATGAAAATAAATTTTATATTTTTAGAAATCTTATAAAAAGGCAAATAACATAAAAATATAATAATACAGGGTATCACGTTTAAAGCAACATAATTTTGCGGCGTTTTTATAGAATATTCTAGGTGAAAAACTCTACAGGACTCAGTTAATTTTTTGATAAGTTTTAAGATACCCGAATTTTACTAAATTACAAACGAATTTCACCCTGTATTTTAAGAACAAAGAGGGCTAAGATAAATTTGTGTGTAGCATCTTTAGTTTCATCAGAAAGTAGGACAGTAATGTGAAAACCGCATCTCTATAGCTCTACTCATAAACGAGAAACCTTGCAAAACACACGAAAATGGAATAACCTGTACGATTAATTTTGTATTTTTTTATAACATCTAAACTAAAAAAAAGTAAGAATATTGCTCTTATAAGGTATAATATCTTACTTTTATCGTTTTATCTCAATTACTTACCTTTCATCTTCTAAATCAGGCCTCTCTTCATGTTTCCTGTAACAAAAAATAGATTATTTAAATGATTAGATCGAACACTTTAACGCTCTGATGATATTAAGAGAACGCTTTTATTAATTAAAGCGGTAATATCCGAGAAATGAAACTAAAAAGTAAGCTGGCGGTTATACGAACTTAATTAGTTTAAGAAATCAGTTCTCCTTCATCAAAGATAATTAGTTTTAGGCCGTAATATATCCATCAATGTGTGAATATTTAATGAAAATTGCTGTGAAGCTTCTTTCAGATTTTCGAATAAAAGTTTGAGACGAAAAATAAATCCAAAAGCCGAGCTGCAGTTTGATAAAACAACGAACAAAAACCGTTCCGGTGGTTTTATAAAATTAATTAATTTAAGAAATCTGTTGTGCTGCATCTAGGATAATTAGTTTTAGCTTGTAATATATCAGTCAGTGTGTTAATCTTTCGCAGACACCAGCAACGCGCCCTTGTCCATTGTTGTATGCGGAATTTTCCAATTTTCAATTAAATCCACCAAGTACAAATGCTGTCAACACAATTTATTAAAAATTAATAACGCCCTAACACCGTTGTAAATCATTTTTATAAACCCCTTTGTTTCGGATTCATAGTGTGTTTATATTAAAAACATTTTCGTAATTAGTTTTAATAATCCTTGTCAAGTTTTCAAACAGCTATCTTTCGCATCCATAAACCGAGGTACACTATAATCCCCACATCAAATTTATTTGTTTTATTTATTTGTTACCCATACACATACTCGGAATAGAAGCCCTAAAATAAATATATGGCAAATAAAATATTAAAATATTTTTAAATGTTAAAATTGTTTTTAAAATAATATCTAAATATAATCCAACCTATAAAAAACCGCCAGAGTTTATGGTGTATTTATTCTAAGCTTAGCTTTTACAATTTCAAATAAACTCGCAGTGTTCAAGCTGTAATATCATTATGTCACAGTCAGTTAAGATGAATCAAAAAGCAACCGGCATGATTTTGAATCGCAAAAAGACCTTAATCGCAGAGTTCTTGGCAGAAATCCATGCTAAGCATCACTTATAAGAGGATTTCCTTGGCAAGATATGAACGTACGAGTTGGAGACTTGGAGGTCTTATTAAACTTACGGCAATGCAATAATTTTAAATTTGATCTCATTTTTAAAACACAGGATAAAGATTCAATTTATATTTTCTACTATATGTATCCAAAAGTTTTGAATCTGTTTTCGAAATCGAAAGAGCTGGTCAAAAAGCGTTACATACATTGAATGTTTACTTCTTCTCTTAGAGTGGCTATATGACTTTCCAAAACGGCAATTTTGACAATCTCGAGACCGGATAAAAATATCCTTTAAAACTTATAACAAAGCTTTTATGTATACGAATAACAGTAAAACCTCTTGACTGTTAATGTTACTCTTGAAAATTGCTTTAGAATGCGATCAAAGAAAACATTTTTCTATAAATGGCAACACCGCTGTTATTTTAGGACTTCTATTCTATTTTCTATTTTAGTACCATTCTATTTTTTTTTTCAATCAATTCAATTCAACTAAAATATTATAAAACATAAACAACCCCTAAAATGGGGGATAAGGCCACTGATAATTCTATGCTTTTAACGTTCCAAATCTAACAACTCACACAAATTAATAACCCCATCAGTACCGGATTTTTATCCAAAAAATTTAAAAATAAAATCAACCCCTAATATAGGGGTTGACGCTTTTTTTGCCTCCCAATCCAACGACGGACGCCTCACTCAAATCGATACACCCACTCGTTCCAGATTTATGCCCAAAAACAATAAAACAACAATATCATCCCCTAAATTAGGTAATTAAACTATTGTCACTTAATATTCAATTTTTATATTTTTCTACGTGGATTTAAAAGTAGTATACATTGTGTGTACACTTTAAAATACTGACAATTAATTATCAATATTTTTGTTTAATTTGTTCATATTTATATCAATAAAACTAGCGTGTACCAGCGACTTCGTTCGCGTCGAATTAATCATTTGTAATGGTGATGATAAAGCAAAGCAAGAATTTCCATTAACATACAAACTGGATAAAATTTTCTCACATTTATGTCAGCATGAAAAAAAAACAATATGGCGATATTATTATATAACTTGGTAATATTTGAGTAACATCTCGTTGGAATTTGACTTTCGAAAAATCCGTTTGCCAAAAATAAGCTTTTTACGTCAAGCAGTTTAAGCAGAATCGTGGTTAAGAAATTACCCAACCTTTTAGAACACCCTGTATGATTTTTTAAAAATTTCAAAATATGTAAAAAAACCAAATAAATTATGCTAGTTCAAGGGTTTTCCCGAAAGACTAACAGGTTTTTTAAATAACAAAAAATATAGTAATATTTGAGGGGCGTTTTCACCCTCTTGGAATTTGAGATTCGAGAAACCCCTCCTTATCGAACCTCTACACCCCACAGTCAATCCGTTTACCAAAAATCAGCTTTAAACGTCAAGCAGTTTAAGCAGAATCGTGATTACTCAATGGTCATATTTTATGAAACACCCTGTATAAATTTATAAAAAATCTTAAAATATGTAAAACAACAAAATAAAAATATACGTGTTTAAGAGTTTTTCCGAAAAACTCACCGGTTTTAAATAAATAAAAAATATTTTAATATTTGAGGGATAGTTTCACCCCTTTAGAATTCGAGTTTCGAAAAATTCTACTTTTATCGAACCTCTACACCCTAAAGTCAATCTGTTTTCCAAAAATCAGCTTTTTTACGTCAAGCGCTTTAAGCAGGATCGTGATTAATCAATGACCAGATTTTTCGAAACACCCTGTATACATTTTTAAAAATGTTAAAATATGTAAAAAAACAAAATAAAATATACGTGTTTAAGCGTTTTTTCGGAAACTTGACCGTTTTTTAAATAAAAAATATTGTAATATTTGAGGGGTGGTTTCGCCCTCTTGGAACTGGAATTTCGAAAAATCCCTTCTTATCGAACCTCTACACCCTAGAATCAAAATGTATGCCAAAATTGAGCTTCTTACGTTGAGTGGTTTGAGCAGGATCGTGATTAATCAGTATGTCAGTCACTTAAGGATTTTATATATTAGTATAGATGTCAGAATGACATCAAAAAATCATGGGATTTTTGATTTTTTTTATCAGTTGCCTTGTTATAAAGGGGTAAAATGTATTAGTACTTATTTATGGCTCAATTATCTTTAGTTAATTAATTATCTTAATGTATATGATAAATTTTCAGGCTGATATAAACAACCCCATTCATAAAAGTAATTTACTTAATTAGTCAATAAGAAATTAATATTTGTAATAAGATAGAAACCGTAATACTGCATTTCTCTGAACAACTTCCTTAAGTTTATGTTTACTGCTGTGGAAAGTGTAAAGAAATATAATTCTTTATTTAAGAGAGAGGTAGCTGTAGGAAGTTATAAAATACTATTAATGCAGTGGGGGAAAAGAAAATAAATGAAAAGGACCTCGTCGCTGAAAAAGAATAAGTTTTTACTTGAGATAGTTTCTGTTTGTTTTTCTAGAAAAATATTAAAGAAATTAAGTAGGATCACTATCATTTATTATTAGCACGATTTTTTATGCTGCTTTATTGCCATGACAGCTAAATTTATCCAAAACCTTGTAGAATGCATGGGAGGGGGGAGGTTTAATCATTGCGACCTCACAGATCTATTGTGTCCTCCTTTCTTGAGTTATAACTCATCATACAGTCTCAAGGCTTTGACAAATATCTCCAATATCAGTCGTACCAAACTTCATGGCACAAATGGTTGTCGTCTCGGCGCACTCAGTGATGAGGTGTTTTGGTGTTTCCCTATTTTCCCCATAGAATCTGCATTGGCCGTTGTTTCTTAGCTTCGATCGTGTGGAGGTGTTCGTTGAGGAGACAAAACCCCCGTGACAATCCGAAGATTGTTCTTACTTAAATAAACGAAAATCTTTAATTTTTCTCGGTCGTAAGTTCTGAGAAATTTGTTCGAGTGTCTTAGACCGTTGAAGGATTCCCATTCCAGGTTATGGATGGCGTTTTTCAGGTTCTTGAGTTCAGATTTAAGTTGGTTTCTACTTGGGACGCGGTTCTGGTACAGGTAATTCACTTATTGCCTTCTAGCCATTGGTGGACTGGCACTCAGAGTAGGAGGACTTTATTATCTTTGCCTAATTTGTTCAGCTTCTCATTTTTTTCACTTTGACAACATTGAACTGATGGTTACTATCTTGATGGCTTTTAATGCTGCTTGACTATCGGATAAGATGACTAAGATAAATTGTACGCATTTTTTGATAGCGTAGATTTCTGCCTGAAGGATGCCGAGGTAGGTGCCCAGTTTTTGGCTCAAATTCTCTTGTCCCTTTTAAAACTTCATTAAATCCATAATCTAACTTTGTTTACAGGACAATTACAGTACTGTCATATATTTTATTCTTAAATTTATATGAAGTTAATTTATAATCTAAAAAATGTTCTCTATATTTTTAAAACGGATATAGAGATTAATATATCAAACATATTTAAATATAAAATTGAGTGGAGTATTAGTCGAATAAATCTGAAATCTGTCATCCCTGGTAACGACCGCCAGTTATTTTTGTGAGTCACAAAGCGAGAGAGCCTTTTTACGTATCGAAGCGCCTATTAATCGGTCAAATTTTTACCGACGCGACTCGATTATACACGAGGGAACAGGATTTTACGGCTCACATATTATATAAGACTTTTAGTGCTTGATTCGATTTCGATTCTACCCAGTTGTCGCATTGAGCATAAAAAGTTAACAACGAAAAAGAAGACGAGAAATATTACGACAAACATATAATATGTCAAAAATCATCGTAATCCTATCTTGGTCCAGAGCCAGTATTGGAAATACCCAAATGTATAACCTGTAGTAGACTTAACTAAATCGTTACTAAATCAGTTATGAAAGCTGAGCCGACTTTGCTCCATACTCTGCGATAAAGATTCTAAAACAGCG